TGGGCTTCTTCCCTCTCCATATGAAGTTGGTAATCAGTTTTTCCATTTCTTTGAAGAAAGATGAGGGTAATTGTATTGGGATTGCATTAAACTTTATAGTGCCTTTGGCAGAACTGCCATTTTGACTATATTGAGTCTTCCGATCCATGAGCATGGGATATTCTTCCATTTGTTGAGGTCTCCCTTCGTTTCTTGTAGTAGTGTTCTGTAGTTTTCCCCATATAGATCTTTTGTTCTCTTAGTCAGGTATATCCCTAGATATTTCTATTTGAATTTAGCTATTGCTGATGTCACATTCTTATAATCCAGCTTCTCTGATTATCTGCTCAGCATACAGATTGAGTACGTGTGGTGAAAGGATACAAACTTGATGCACACCTTTCCTAATTGTAAGCCATGCAGTATTCTCTTATTCTGTTTGTATGACTACCCTCTTGATCCCAGTTCTGAGTGAATAAATCACGTGTTCTGGAATCCCCATTCTTCTCAAGAAAACTCTATGAGGCAGCTCTACTCTGCTGATTGGGTTGCTGTGAGTCAGAGTCAACTTGAAGGGAGTGGGCTTTTGTGCCCCCACTTCCCCGTCCCCATCCCCATGTTCTCTGTCTTCACAGCCCCTGCACAGCCTTTGCCTTTGACTTAATACACTAAATGGGAATGTTCTTTACTGGTCTCATCTGCACTGGACTCTGACCTCCCTGAGAGCACACAATGCTTTATTTGTCACTTTGCCCAGTGCTAAGAGAGTTCAGGCTCGCTGGGGAATGAATGACCTCAGGTCTGTCCCTGCCCAGGCAGGGAGGGCGCCAGCTCCACAGTCTCTGGGAGGGTTATGCCTCCACAGAGAACAGTTACCTTATTAAAAGAAAGGTTAACATCAGAATCAATGTATTTGCAAACAGAAGTTAGCTTTGGTAGCATATTTCCAAATATTTGTTTTTAAAAAAAAAACACCAGCAGGGAGGAACAAAACTCTGGAGCCTCCCAAATCCAAGAATTGCTTCAAAGTCAAGACAGAGTATCGGGGCTCATGACTGGAGGGGACCTTTGTATCCCTGGTAGCACTGTCCGGCAAGCACTGGCTGCTAACCTCAAGGCCAGTGGCCAAACCCACCAGTCATCCCTCAGGAGAAAGATGAGGCTGCTTGCTCCGGTAAAGATTGACAGTCTCAGAAACCTTGTCTGGGGAGCTAGGAGTCAGAATCAACTCAATGGCAGTGGGTTTGGTTTTCTTGGTTTGTGCACCCCAGGTGTGGAATTGTCTATTTTCCCTGGAGGAAGCCTGTGGCCTCTTCCTGGCCCAGGCTGACTGGCCGGATCCAGCACCTTTGCTCAGCTCCGCCCAGTGCCCTGGGCTGTGGCCTCTTGGTTAATCTGCCACAGAGCTGGCCTGGCCGTGCTGAGATGGGGCTGCACAGGCCAGTGCTGTGGCTGAAGAAATTCTGGGTACTTTTGCAGGTAGTCCTGCATGTAGCCAAAGGCAGAGTGCTCATGACACTGTTCCCTGAGAGAGTCAAACAGCACATCCTGGCCCAGTACCCCAACTTCGCCTACGACCTCTGGGGTTCCACCTTCTTCAGCATTCCGTACTTCTGGTTTGTCTTGAAGGTTTATTGGCAGCGACTAGAAGATAAGACTGAGCAAGGGAGTCTGGCCCCGAACTGCCCTGTGGTCAGCCTTTCAGGCCGAAGGTGCAACATTTGGGACTTCATGCAAGGTCAGGAGGTGGATACGGGTTTGAGGGGTGCTTGGATTTGGGGTGGCTGTGGTGGTGGGGGGGGGTGAGTTGGAAAACCCTGATGGATTCCTCTATTGCCCTGGTATTCCTTCTGTGACTTCTTGCCTCCTTCTCATGCCCTGAAGCTAGGACTGTTCTTGGAGGGCCAGCTGGGGCACTTCTAGCCACACTGGCCTTTGGTTGCTTAAACACGCCTCTCGTCTTACAGTGTGTTCTCCCGGGGACGCTCTTTGCCCAGGTCTGCCTGGTTTGAATGCCCAGTCATCCTGCAGACTTTGGCTTAAGGACACTTCCTATGAGTGTGTCTCCTAACTCCCTTAGCTCAGGTCACCCTCTCCTATATTTGTTTTGAAGCCTAAAGGTAATGTGTAATTATGTGTGGATGTTTGACTCAGAAGGAGCCCTGGTGGTGTAGTGGTTACGAGTGGGGCTGTAATTGCCGAGGTTAGGAGTTCTAAAGCACCAGCAGCCGAGGGAGAAAGACTGAGCTTTCTACTCCTGTAAACAGTTCCTGTCTCAGAAACCCACAGGGAGTCGCTATGAGGCAGCAATGACTTGATGGCAGTGAGTTTGGGGTTGTATGGGGTTGTCGTTGTTTTTTTGGTATTTGATTAAGCGCTGTCACCCTCACTAGCCTGCAAGAAGGACAGAGGCTGTCACTCAAACTGACTTTGATGTCCCTTAAATCTGATGCTGTGTCTGGCATATAGTAGGTGCTCAGCAAATACTTGCTGAATTGGGTTCTCTCTTTCTCTATATCTCTCCCTTCCTTCCTCCCCAACTCTTCCCTTACTGTCTGCCCTGTGTGCACTCACTCATGCTGACTCAGAGCAGCTCCAGAGAACAGAGTAGAACTGCCCCTGTGGGCTTCCAAGAGTTGAACTCTTTATAGGAGTAGCAAGCCTCGTCTTTCTCCCACAGAGTGACTGGGGGGTTCAAACTGCTGACCTTGTGCTTATTAGCCCAGCCCATACCCATTATGCCTCCAGGGTCCCTTTCCCTGCTGTGAATGGACAATCCAATCCTATCTGCTTGGGCTCTTAAAGATGGCTCCAACCAGTTTCCTCTCCCTGCCCTCACACCTTTGGGCACAGCTGGCGCAGAGCTTCCCGGGGATGCTGATGGAGCTCTCCAGGGGCAGGGCTTCCTCCTCCCTCCCTTGCTCTCTCTTCCGACCCAACTCATGAACAGCCATCAGATCACACTTCCAAAAGGACGATTCTAGCCGACCCACACGCCCAGCTCGCCCACCCTCAGCACTTCCCCTCTGCATTCAGAAACAAGCTCAGGCATTTGAGGTCCTCACTGGCGGACTCTGGCTCTCTTCCCAACCTCATTGGCAAGAGGGCCCTTGCTCTCGTTTCCTCAACAAACTGAGCCTCTTGAGCCTTGCTCATCCCAAGAGTTTTCCCTTCTCCCTTGGCTGTCTTTGTCTTGCCTGAAACACCCCTGCCCTTCTCTCTACATTCTTCAGAGTTACCTATCTCTAGGAAGCCAGCTCTGTTCCCTGCAGGCAGGCATGAGCATGCTCTCTCCCTACTGGATGCAAGCTCCCAGCCAGCACTTCTCCTAGAACACCAGTTTCCTACCCAGAATCTGACTTCCTGGTATAAGCCTTGTCTTCCTGCTGAAGGGGAGGCTCTGCCTCTTCTCTGAATTCCTCATGAGGGCCCTGCCTCTTCTCTCAATTTCTCAGCACGCTTCGCCCAGGGCTTAGACAACTAGAGAGGTCCCCCGAGGAATTCAAGCAACCTAGTGTTTTTTGAGCTAGGAGCCCTAGTGGTGTAGTGGTTATGCACTGGGCTGCTAAGCAAAAAATCAGCAGTTCGACACCACTGAAAGAGGCTTGCTGTCCTAGCACAGAGTTACAGCCTCGGAAACCCACAGAGGCAGCTTCTCCCTGTCTTGTAGGGTCGCCATGAGTCAGCGTCGTCTCGATGGCAGGCAGTTTAAAGAGTATTTTTTGAAGCACCTTCTTAGGAACCCAAGTCCGACAGAATTCTCTGATCCACGAAGTGTGGGAAGCCCTGCATGCTGACTACACCCTCCTTCCTGCTGGAGAGTCATCGTACATTCAAAACATTCAAAAGGCATTCAAAAACATCTACGAAATGGACTCCAGGTTTTGTCGATCATAGGGGCTGGGTGACCCCCTAAAACTATCTCCATGAAGGAACCCCTAAAATTGAAACTATCCCCCAATGTCTTGTAAAGACCAAACAAGTTCAACCTAAGTAGTTAAAAATATCTGCTTTATGTTAACTATAACGAAGATTATAAATAATAGATTATAGTTATCCTACCCCGCACACCCCACTCCAAAAAAATGTGCCTTGAGACTTGTCCTCTAAAAAAGTACCTGTAGGAGATCAAAGTGCAACAAACAGCATTTTAAAAGCTTAGTTAGACAGGAACCTTAGGGGGCAGTGAGCTTATTCAGAAAAGGAGGTGAGCACAGTAATGTAACCAGTGCCACTGACCATACATGAAGAGGCTGTTGGATTGGTGTGTGTTTTGCTCAACAGCACAATTCTTTAAAAGCCAAAACAAGCAAACCCAGCAACATCTATGCCATTAGGAGACGTTTTGGGTTTTTTTTCCAAACCATTTTATTAGGAGCTAATCCAGACATCATATCATTCCATAGTTCGATTGCATTGAGCAGTATTGGACAATTGTTACCAAGAAGACATTTTTTCAGAGTACATTTTTAAAATTGTTTTATTAGGGGCTCATACAACTCTTATCACAATCCATACATACATCAATTGTGTAAAGCGCATTTGTACATTCATTGCCCTCATCATTCTCAAAACATTTCCTCTCCACTTAAGCCCCCGGCATTAGGTCCTCATTTTCCCCTCCCTCCCCGCTCCCCTCTCCCTCGTGAGCCCTTGATAATTTATAAATTATTATTTTGTCATATCTTGCCCTGTCCGACGTCTCCCTTCACCCACTTTTCTGTTGTCCGTCCCCCAGGGAGGAGGTCACATATAGTTACTTGTAATCGGTTCCCTCTTTCCAACCCACTCTCCCTCTACCCTCCCAGTATTGCCACTCACACCACTGGTCCTGAAGGGATCATCTGCCCTGGATTCCCTGTGTTTCCAGTTCCTATCTGTACCAGTGTACATCCTCTGGTCTAGCCAGACTTGCAAGGTAGAATTCGGAGCATGATAGTGGGGGCGGGGAGGAAGCATTTAGGAATCAGAGGAAAGTTGTATTTTTCATCGTTGTTACATCGCACCCTGACTGGCTCATCTCCTCCCCGAGACCCCTCTGCAAGGGAATCTCCAGTGGCCTACACATGGGCTTTGGGTCTCCACTCCGCACTTCCCCCATCATTCACTATGGTGAGATTTTTCGTTCAGAGACATTTTGATGTGCTGAAAAATGAACAAACTTTATCATACGGTTGTGTTCTTTTGGTTAATGGTGTCTTTCTGATAGTTGAACTATTGGACCCGGGGAGGCAAAAAAAATCACATAGAGCCTGACATTATATTGAAAAAATAAATTTCAGTTTATATACATACTTTTATATTGTGGAGGGAAAGAATACAATAATCAACGAAAGGCTATCAAGTTGTACAAACATGTTTTTGGAGCTTCAGGGAAGCCCTGTAGTTTAAACAAACAAAAATATTCATTTCACACATCGCTGACTGACTTCCCACAGGAAACTCCCTCTGCCAAATGCCCCCATTCAATGGACTGTCCAGTATCACCATGTTTTAAAATGGTTAAGAATGTGATTCCTAATCACAGAGGCTGGTGATCAGAACCCACCCATTGGTGCCTGGGAAGAAAAGTCGGGCGATGTACTGGCAGGGCACAGACTTGGAAACCCTGTGGGACGCACGGAGTCTCCATGAGGAGGCACTGATTTGACGGCAGTTGGGTTTGTTGCCCTTCAGATCTTTCTAAAGAACACGTTTTAATAAACATTGGTTGAAATGGAGAAAACTGATCCAGAAAGGGAACCGAGCTAATGAGTAGCAGAGCCGGGCCCCCCAAATCAGGGCTTCTGCTTCTGGTTCATGTACCTCAGGCAGCATTCCTGAACACCTACTGCATGCCAAGGCTCAGCCAGATGGCAGGCGGGGCCTCACAATCCGGTGAGAGCTTGCTCCTTCATGCAAGGAGTTACAGGTGTCATAGCAGGTAGAGATCATGAATCAATCTGTAGGTTCCCATGAGATAGGAACCAAGATAAAGGGACGAGCTTTGCCTGCAGCACTGGGAAGGTGTCCTGGAAGAAGTGGCTTTCAAAGTAGGCCTTGAAGCATGAATGTGATTTTTGTTGAATGAGCAGGGAAAAGGGAAGACATTGTTTTTTCCCTCTGAATTTAAACCACACTGCACAAGTAGCCTCTGTTTATTCAACAAACATCCACTAAGCAATCACTGATAACAGGAGCAAGGAAATGGCAACCAGCTCTTATAATTAGCTGTGTACTCCATGCCCCTAGCGCAGTGGAGCTCTGGTAGCCTAGTGAGTTACAACTTGGGCTGCAAACGGCAAGATCAGCAGTTCCAAACCACCAGCCACTCACTGGGAGAAAGATGAGGCTTTCTACTCCTATAAGAAGTCACAGTCTTGGAAACCCACAGGGGGCAGTTCTACCGTGTCCTGTCGGGTCGCTATGAGGGGAGACGGACTCCATGGTGGTGTTTGGTTTGGTTTGGGTTCTGTTCCCAGGGTGATTGACAGCCTCAGAAACCTTAGGGAACTGTCCTCCTCTACCCTGTAGGGTCTTCATGAGTATATCCCTCGGTGTGTGTGTGGGGGTACGGGGTGGGGGGGACCCAAGGTTATGGTGCTTGGCTGCTAGCAGGAAGGTTGGAGTTTCAGTGCACCCAGAAGCACCTTGGAAGCAAGGTCTGGTGACAGGCCGACAAAGCAGTCATTAAAAATGCCACAGAGCCGGTTGTACTCTGACACGAAGTCTGGCAGGAACTCAGCGGCAACTGCTCAG